AACGGTGTCACATGTGAGTACTTGGAGGATTTTGTCAAAAGCCTCGCTGCAGCGTTTTGCACACATTTATTGAGTAAATTTTAAAGCAGTTTAGCATAACTGACGCGGCCGTTTGATTGACAGGTGTCACGACCTCCACTGGACCTCTGCTGTGTGTTTGCTGGTGTCGGTGCCTTTTAAGACATCTTCTGAGAATAATATTGGACAAATTACACGTCTTATTGTACGAACAGATTAGTCTTTCCTTAAGTTTTGGTGAATATATAATTGGTATAATATTTGTGTGGTAATGTGCAGGGTTGCATGCATCTACACCCATTAAACATGTGGACGCAAACTGATGATCAAACTTTTTAGCATTAGCTCTGATAGTTTAGCTTCCATAAAGAGGATGGTGGTGATCCTAAAGCTAGTGGGTGTAAGTTTGCTTTAAAAATAAAATATTGAACGAGGTTAAAACAACAACTCTGCGGTTCACACTGAGATATTCTGAAACACACTCACTCTGAAGAGTGCAATAAACTGTCCTCGAAACGTGCAAATTAGCTTCTCTTCTTGTCTCTTTGACTTTAAAATCACATCTTTTTACACAACAATTAAAAAAAGAAAAGAGAAGTCGTCTTTTTTTCTTATCGCGCAGCTGAGTCGCTGTTTTAAGGAAAAACACCGAGTCCCTGTGAGCGTTAATTACACAACCAAAGCATTAAACTACCAAATCCCCCGCACAGTGACATTTGGACATATCAAGTACAGGCTGGGATTGAACGCATCTGCTTTAAGTGTGACAGACCATCGCTTCAGACGTAACATATGTGTGGCGTGTGGAGGCGTCAAATACGGCCCTGGAAGCCTCCATTAAATTAAATGTTGTGCGTTTAGCTTTGCCAGAGCGGCGAGTCGTGCAGCCTTCATCGCATCTCAGCAGCCGTGGCTGCCTGACATCGTCTGAGTGACCATCTGTGCCGAATTTAAACCACCTTATCAATAAAAAACAAGTAATAAATAAATAAATAATACCTGAACTGTAATGTTTATAGACTGAGATTGATGCCTTTTAATAAAGAATTAGATGATCTTAAATTGTTTATTGAAAGTTTTTACATGAGTCTTGTGTCACGCCTCATTTCTTTACATTTTACCAGGATAATGAAAAATAAGTGCTGCGATTTATTGAAACATCTGAAAACATGCAAAGGAAACCAAGATCATGCTCTGGGGAGGCCGATCCACGACCCGTAGTGTTTTTACTGAACTGGTATCGTATGTGGGATCATTGTTCTGCTGAAAAATGTGCAGACGGTACTGCACGGTGGACCAAAGTATGACTGCACTCTTCTGTCCATCGGTCTCATCAGCTGTGACAAGATCATCCAGGACTGGACCGAAAATGAGTGAAAAAGCAGACGGTGTCCAATGACAAACAATGAAAACAAGAATAAGGAGGTCCGGTCGCTTGAAAGCAAAATATAAAGAAATCAGAGTGACTCAAGACTTTTGCACAGTGCTGTAGACACTAACCCTTCTGAGGAGAGAGAGCTTCTGCAGGGTTGCTACTGGTACTCGCTCGCTCCTGTTCTGATGGTGCCCTCTTCAGGCGAGGAGCAGGAAGTGGTGCTTTGGGAGACAAGCTGCCCGTTGGAGCACTGCCAC